CTAGCTGAGTGTCTGCCCAAAGATATGCCCAGCTTTGTGCCTGAAACCCAGGGCTGGCTGTGGTGATGCAGGCACCTGAGGGCACCTCCTGGTCTGCAGGTTGCAAAGATAGTGGGAAAAGCGTAGTGTCTGGTCCAGATAGCTCTCTCCCTCAGGGTACAGTCCCTCATGGCTTCCCCTGGCTAGGGGAGGGAGTTCCCTGACCCCTTGCACTTCCTGGGTGAGGTGATGCCCCACCCTGCTTCTACTCACCCTCTGTGGGCTGCACCCACTGTCTAACCAGTCCAATGAGGTGAGTCGGGTACTTCAGTTGGAAATGCAGGAATCACCTGCCTTCCACGTTGGTCTCCCTGGGAGCTGTATTAGGAGCTGTTCCTATTTGGCCATCTTGCTCAGGAATCCCTACATTATCTTGTAGCAGATGCCACTCATGTGCAATCCAAACAGGTCAATTACTAGCAAATCTCTAATGATCTCAAATCACCATGAAAGAACCAAAGAAAATACCCAAATGTGAAGACAGAGAGAACTGAAATGGGGTACAAACCAATTTACAGAAATGGAACTTAACCCTTAGAGGAATGAAATGAGCCTGCTACATATTCATTTCTATCTTATTAATTATTTATGTAAGAAGTGAGCTTGTCACTTGAAGCAAAATTTTACAAGCCAATAAATGCATTATTTTTCATTCCCTTTTTCTGCAGGGAATGGTATATCTTTGAGAGGGAGAGAGAGAAAATAAAAGCTGTAAATATTGAAGTTTTCTTCTTTTTATATTCATTGTTGTTGGCAACTGTGGTTAAGTTCAACACTACAGGTTTCTGAACAAGGCAATCTTGCAGTAAACACAATAAGAATCTATTTATCTCTCATAAATGCTTATGTCTAACTCTCATTAATATTAATGGAGTGGCATACAAGCATTGAGGAGATAATAGACTCCCATTTAAATCCATTTGTATTCATGAGCTTTTTTTTTAAAGGTTACTTTTCAATGCTTCCTCTAAAAATGAGAGTCAATGATCTTATCTTCAAAGATATTTCAAACATAGCTAACTAAATAAAGTAAGAACCCAATTAAAGTTTGTTTGCAAACATTTCCATGGAAAACTTGACAGTAGATTGACTTATTCCCCCCCAATCATCTTTATTTGATCTATTAATTTGTGTACAGCACATTAAGTAGAAAGTATCAGATGATTTATATTTTCTGCTCCTGTTAGTCTTTGCTGGCAATCTGTCTGTGGCTAAATTCATGAACTCGGCTTCTCAAGCTGGTAAGCCCAACCCTTATTCTTTTTTTGTGGGGAGGTGGGCAGTGGCTCACCTTGCAGTGGACCATCTGCCTGCTCCCAAGATCCAACTACAAGCTTTTTATACATCTCCTTGTTCTTAAAAATCATACTGGAGCATTAGAATATCGAAGGTTAGAAACTTTTAGTAAATCTCATGTTCAGAAAATAGACTTTCTATTTGATAAAGAATATATCCTTTTACTATTAATTACTGATTCTATGGAAACACTAGTAATGAAGAAGAGAGTAATGAAATAGTGAGTAACTAGTAATAAAGTAATGAAGTAACTAATAATGAAGGAGAGATGGACAGGGAACGTCAGTGTTGCAGACAATTTATATTCTTTATGCAACCATTGTGCTTATAAAGAGAAGCAAGGCAATGGGATGAAGAAAGGGGGAGGGATGATGGCTAAACTCACTTTTGTAGTCTCAGTGATAAATCTCTTGTGGATTTTTTTTTAATTAAAGTATTACTTTATGCTTTTAAGAGAAAACCCTAACATACTTTCAGAACCTAAATTTAACAACAATTCAAAAATCACCAAAAAGAAAACACATTAAATGAAAGAGGTAGCCTTCTCATCAGAAGAACTAAGCTGAACCATTCAATTCAATAAAACATTAATATGTATTTTTCTTGGACAGACACATGGCTGGGCCTTGATGAAAAAAACCAGTGTGACCTGAGATAGTGTGAGGTCTCCACAGATTTGTAATCTAGATAGGAGAGAAAATGTATACCCAAACTTGCAACTATAGTTTACAGTTTAAGATATGTGGCTTTGATAAAGCTAAACCCAGCAGGAGGAATAACATAGTGGAATAAAATATATGTGATCCATCCATTAGAGATCTACATTTATTTATGGAGCAGAGAGAAAGGATACAGTGAACACAGTTCTAGGAAATACATGTTGTATAGAATGCAAATTGGACCAAAAATATTTGTCACTATATATATTTTGGTATACACACACACACACACACACACACACACACACACACACAGTATGCCATTCATTGCATTTCTTAAATATTTAAATACATATGAAAATTCACTGCAATATACAGAGTACTTAGGGACACTGATTTACTAGTAATATTAGAGGTTGGATTTATTAGAGTTAATGGAACTGATGGGTAGAATCAAACTCTTGAATATAGGCTCAATCTGGTATTTTTTGGGTTTTACATGAATTAGGTCATTTGTCAAGACACAGCATAGTTAAATTACATAATAGTTTAAAAACTTACTGTTTTAAAAGCTGTATCAGACAGCTACCAGGTGGGGAGACCCTGAGAATGAATATAACGAAGGAAAAGATGGCTGAGAGAGAGAGGGAGAGTCAGACCGATGGAGTCCTAATGATGACATTGAGTTATTGAATCTAGTGGACGTGAATCTAGATTGATCCCTAGACCCTTCTAGGGATGTGAGAACATTCCCTTTATTGCTTAAGCTAGTTGAAGTTGATTTATTCTTTATTCATAATTAAAATAACCCCAGTAAGGGCAGATTATACATTATTTTTATATATGCTAATTATATGTATTAAAGAATAAATGATTGAATGACAATAAAAAGCATGATTTGGCCCTCAGTATAATTTTGATACCTGATTTGAACAAAATTAACACCTTTACAGTTTTGAATAGTCATTATAAATATGGTATATATATTTCAGTTTACCTAGTTCTTTAAAGTCCTTCAACAACATTTTGTCATTTGCTATTTAGAAATCTCATACGTTTTTTGTTAAATTTATTTCTTGGTAATTTAAAAATTTTAGAATATCTTTTTAAATGTACATTTTAAACTAATTTTTGTTTGGTGATGTCTATAAGTTAAATTGACCTTTGTGTATTGACTCTAAAACCAGAAATTTTGCTAAACTCATGTTAATTTGAATTGGTAGACTATTTAGGTCTTCTATGAAGAAATCTTACACTCTGCAAACAGTCTTTACGCTTTTCCTATCATTGAGTATCATATTTGTGGAATGCCTGTTTTTGGAGAAGGTTGTGAAGATGGCTTTTTTCAGTTTAAGGATTTTCTTTCAATTTTTGGCTTTCTGTAAGATTTCTGTTTTTTCCTTCTTAAAAATCATGATTGGATACTGAATTTCATAAAATGCCCTTTATATCCTAATGATTATATTTTTCCCTATATTCTGTTAATGTAGTGAATTGTCTTAATGCTTATTCCAGTTTTTAATCTCATTTAGCTGTTATATTAACCTACATATAGGAGTTTTCAGATTTCCTATTTCTTGATTAAAATTGTTATTTTTTTACACTATGAGATATGCAAAAAAATCTTATGAAGAAAATAGGCAACACATTTTAAACCTTTGATTTAGTGAAAAGTACCTAATTAAAAGATAAATGATTAAAAGAATTAATGAGCTTTTATAGTGAGAATTAGAAGTAGTCATAATAAAGTATCTAATTTGGAAAAAATATGGGTAGTAGAGGTATTGTAGGCTGAGCTGGGTATTAGTATTAGAGAAAAACTAATAGAAACAAATAAAATTTTGATCAGAGAATATTTGTGTAGTCTTTCAATAGTTAGCATGGCTAAAATGCCAACTCATAACTTTATTTTGTGCTGGGCTCAGAAAATGATACCCCAAAGTATAGCACTTTGGCATGCTGAGTGCTTTGAGCTAGAAGAGAAACAAGGTCTCTCTGACCTTCTATCTTTCGTTTATTTATCCCTCTAGACACAGGGAAGGACTCTCTCTGAACTTCTGTTATCTGACTAAAGATAGTCTTCCAAACGGAACTCAGTTTTCTCCTCAATGAGTCTCCTCCCTGGGAATCTCATTAACCACACCACAGGATCAGAGACTGAAGATCAGTGCTAGATCCAGACAGATTTTGTCACAGGCCATATCTATTCATCTTCCCAAATCATGTCTGGCCTCTTAAGTTGCCTACATACCCTGTCTGTCCTCCCCACTGAAGAGGGTATATACACTTCTAGATCTCACTGGGTTTTTGGGGCGTTCCATTTTCTTTCTGTGATCTTCCACGTACGTAATAAATTTAGATACCTTTTCTCCTGTTAATAGGTCTACTGTGTATTTCACAGACTCAATTTGGAGGTCAAAGAGACAGTTTTTCTCTCCACTATACTCGTTTATACTTTAGGACTTGAAAATAGTGGACAAGGGAGTTACTTATGTGATTCGTTAGTTGAGTACAATTCTTACTGAAATTAGCTTCTTGGATTGGATGGACTCATCTAATCAGCCATTTTACCTTAAAAATGCGTTCTCTTCGGACGAGGGGACAGAGACCTCACTAGGGAGCCAGAACCTGTTTTCAGCATATTTTAAGAGAGGAGACAGAGGCTGTCACTGCAGTAGTCACTGTCCTGGTAAATTAACCATTGCACGGCCCAGAAGCGGCTCCGTGTCGACCAATGGGAGCCGAAGCCTTTGAGGATGCTGGAACTGTAGTTCTGGCCTAGGTTGGCACATGAGGTCTGAGGGAACTCACCCGCTGGCTCTGGTCCACCTTCTCCAATCCCTGTCTTCCAGGAGAGGGCTATCTCTTAAGAAAGGAAGGAGTTCTGTGCCCCTGAGAACCTACTGTCTGGTCCTGGCTGCATGGAAAAAAGATGGGCTTTTACAATTAAGGTTGGAAGAAGCCACCACAGGCAGCAGAATCCATCTTGAGATGAAACAACTGGACCTCTGGCAGAATTTCAAGGCACATACTGGGCTGACTCTGGGGCCATGATGTTGCCTTATCCTTCAGCACTGGGAGATGAAGACTGGGAGGAGATTTTCCTTTCCAAGAATGGGGAAAATAGAGAGACCATGAAGAAATTGGCTCAAAATCATAAAGCAAAAGGCTTGCTTTCTAATGATACTGAGTGGCCCCAGGAAAAGGAGGGAAAGGCCCAAATAGAGGTACCAGTTACATTCAGGGATGTGACTGTGATCTTCACGGAAGCAGAATGGAAGAGATGGAGTCCAGAGCAGAGGAATCTATACAAAGAAGTGATGCTGGAGAATTACAGGAATCTTCTCTCATTGGGCATGGCAGCAAAACACTCTCTGTCCTAAGACAAGGGAGAAGAGCCCAGCAGCCCTACTTAGGACGGTGGGCAAGAGCAGCAAGATGCTGCACCATGTTGACTACGGGGTGAGGTGCATCCTGCAGGACAGCCGGATCTTCTTCGGCACCTTCAAGGCTTTTGACAAGCACGTGAATTTGATCCTCTGTGACTGTGATGAGTTCAGGAAGATCAAGCCAAAGAACTCCAAACAAGCTGAAAGGGAAGAGAAGCGAGTCCTTGGTCTGGTGCTGCTGCGAGGGGAGAACCTGCTCTCAATGACAGTAGAGGGACCTCCTCCCAAAGATACTGGCATTGCTCAAGCACTTGCTGGGGCTGCTAGGCGTCCAGGGATTGGCAGGGCTGCTGGCAGAGGAATCCCAGCTGGGGTTCCCATGCCTCGGGTCCCTGCAGGACTTGCTGGGTCAGTCTCTGGGGTTGGCGGGCCATCTCAACAGGTGATGACCCCACAGGAAGGGGCACTGTTGCAGCTGCTGCCACAGCCAGTATTGCCGGGGCCCTGACCCAGTGCCCACCTGGCTGTGGGGGTCCTCCCCCTCCTATGGGCAGGGAAGCACCCCCTCCAGGCATGATGGGCCCACCTCCTGGTATGAGGCCTCCTATGGGTCCCCCATGGGGATCCCTCCTGGAAGAGGGACTCCAATGGGCACGCCCCCTCTGGGAATGCGGCCTCCTCCTCCTGGGGTGCGAGGCCTTCTTTGACCCTTGGCCACAGAATATGGAAGTAGCTCCGTACAGGTGTGGGTTCGATTCCTCAGGGCTACGTTACCACAGACCTGTCTGTTTGTTATGCTGCTGTTCGCGGGGTCTCCCCGGGTTGTCTGGTTTCCCTTACAGGGCCCCCTCCCCCGGGAATGCGCCCACCAAGGCCCTACACTCACCTTGGCCCTCCTCAGGTCCCTGCCTGTTTCCCAAGGCTGTGCATAGTCCTTTTATTTCTTTGTGGCCACTGAAACTGGTTTATAATAAACTCTGAAGAGAACATTAAAAAAAAAATGTGTTTTCTTCAACACGAGTCTTCTGACTTGATTTCACGAGGATTATAATGAGAATACTACTGCTACTGATAATGGTATAACTTTTTTTAGGTTATACTTTAAGTTCTGGGATACATGTGTAGAACGTGCAGGTTTGTTACATATGTATACATGTGCCATGGTGGTTTGCTGCACCCATTAACCCGTCATCTACATTAGGTATTTCTCCTAATGCTATCCCTCTGTTAGACTTCCACCCCCTGACAGGCCCCAGTGTGTGATGTTCCCCTCCCTGTGTCCATGTGTTCTCATTGTTCAAGTCCCGTTTATGAGTGAGAACATGTGGCGTTTGGTTTTCTGTTCCTGCGTTAGTTTGCTGAAAATGATGGTTTCCAGCTTCATCCATGTCCCTGCAAAGGACATGAACTCATCCTATTTTGTGGCTGCATAGTATTCCATGGTGTATATGTGCCACATTTTCTTTATCCAGTCTATCATGGATGGGCATTTGGGTTGGTTCCAAGTCTTTGCTATTGCAAATAGTGCTGCAATAAATACATGTAACTCACATTTTTATTGGGAATATTCAATGTGCTTAGTGCTGCACAATGCAGTTTTTACTGACAACTTTGTACACTTATAAGATTGTGTTATGTATGACTTATTTGAAAATTTCAATCACTTCTATTACAGCTATAGGCTACCGATACAATAAAAAGAAACACAAACTATTCTTAAATTTTACCATTTTTAATTTGTTTGAACATCACATGCTCTTTTCTTGGCCAGTTAATTGAGAGTAAATAATTTGTTGGTTTGTTAACACTGAAGACACAACCAATGTGTCTTGACAAGGTTTATTTTTCCCTCATCATTTTCTTTTCAAGTCTTTGGTTCCCAGTGTGCACTTATTACTGCTTTAGGTAGTAGACAATAAGATGTCATTTCTATTTTAACCTTTTTTTTTTTTAAAAAAAATGGATCCCAAAGATTAACTAAAATTTTAATATAAATAGCCAAACATAAGAAGTCTCAAGTACAAGTTTTTAAACTATTGTATAATTATTCAGAAATATGCTATATATATAATACGCTATAATGTATTATAGTATATAGTATATAATATGCTATAATGTATACAGTATATATAGTATATAATATGCTATAATGTATTATAGTATATATAGTATGTATACTATAGCATAAAGCAATACTATAGCATTAAAAATTTCCCATATATTATTTCGTCTTTCCTCACAACACATTTTAATATGAAGCAAATGTTATAGATGAGAAAACTGAGGCTCAAAGAGCTGATTACATTTTCTCAAGATAAAAATGAAAAAAGTTACCAATAGAAAAACTAGAGAAAAAAATTGCTTAAGATTACAAAGTGGCAGAGCTAAATGTAAAATTTAAGCTTTCTTTCTCAGAAAGCATGTTATTTTAATTAGGAATCAACTTTTTCATTTCTTCTCCTCCTCTTTCTACTCTCCTCCTCATTTTTCACCTTTACTTCATGTTTCTCTTCATTTTCTTCTTTGTTCCTCCCCTTCTCTTCTTCTCCTCCTTTTCTTCTTCATCATCATCGTCATCATCATTATTATTAATAGCTTTCAATGGGCAAGGCACTATTCTAATTTCTTTACTGGTATTTATCAAGTTTAATTCTCAAAACTACATTAGGTAAGTATTATTATTAAACCCCTTTTATAGATAAAGAAATCGATGCATAAAGAGTTCCAATTTGCCCAAGGACACAGAGCTCATTGGTAGTGTTAGGATTCAATCCCTAGTCATTTGGTTTTAGAGTGTGTGCTCTTAACTGTTATTGTAGTCCACCATTGTAACTGACAGTCAGAGATGTCTTCAGACAATGGTTTAGCAACTTCTTTTGAAGTACTCCTCAAACAGAACAACAAAATCAATTAATAGGAACATGCCATGTGCCAAATCCTGTACAACATCTTAACCAGCAATGGATTAACCAAAAAAAGATTTTCACAAGAGGTAAGGGGTGTGGGATCAGGTTTGGAGAATTGATATACTAAAATATTGGCCAATTGGCAACTTAAGTGTATTCAAGATACTTGTTATCATACTGCTAAAAGACAAATATAATTAATGTTTCCAAAAAAGGAAAAAACAAGTATAATCAAGGTATTATCTTCCTATTTAGTCTTTGATTATATACCTAATTGTATTTTTTCATAAAGAAGGTTTTGCCTTGATTATATACCACAATTGCTTGAGCTGTGCATCATTTCAAATAATTTTAGTCTAAAAATCATACTGTGATGTGATAATTGCCCTAATTAAGGTGATGCCTTTACTTATAAACTTGAATATAAATAGCTGAAAAATCTCCACAACCTTTTTTTCTTTCCAAATTTTAAAATTCCTTATGAATATCAGAGGGTATATTCAGTTCTGACATGTACATGTATGATTTTAGAAAAAAAATTACCCCTGGGGCCAAGAGATATATGGAATTATTACACTCTAGTATGTAACATTCTTGAAAGCTGGAAAACAATTAGATTTACGTATTTGTTTATGCATATTTATATTGGTTTACTGCATTTTCTAACATTACCTACACTGGTATTTGAGACTTGGAGAATTACTTTTTAAAAACCACATTAAGTTTTCTGGCTGAGAGAAATATTTAAACCATTGCAAAAATCCCTTTGCATGTGAAATCGTATCTTAAGTAAAAACAAAACAAAATAAAAATTAAAGCATTTCCATAAAATAAATGTAATTTGTTTGCAAGCTCTGTAGTAAATTATATGTTTAACAGCAATTTTACTTTGCATATTCAATACGTGATAAATATGTTCTCCAGAAGATGTGTTATCTGTTTTTGAAATTATTTTAACATTTTTTATTCTTAAAAAGATAAAGCATCAAGTTTTACCATTAATACACATTATTTTCTGGTTTTAAAATTTATTATCAAATGCAAAAACAGAGCAAATGAATATATTTGATGTGTTTTGTAGACTTAAATAATATTTTATGTAATGTAAAGAACATAGTGAAAGGAACACTGGACTTTTTGGTCTTCTTGGCTCTGTCACTAATTAATTTGCTATCAAAGAGTCTCCTCATCTTATATGAGCCTTAGTTTTCTTCTCCATAAAATCTAGGCAAGTGGTCTAAGGTGTTGCTCTTCAAAGTGTGTTCCCTAGACCAGCAGTATTAGTATCGGCTGGGAGCTTGTTAGAAATGCAGATTCTTCGATCTCACTGGGCTTACTGAATTAGAATCTGCATTTAAGTAGAATCCTCAGGTGATTCATGTAGTGGTTAACGTTTGAGAGATTCAGCTGCAGTAAGCTTGCATATCATCACATCTGAAGATGTATAGATCGTGAATGCAGCATTTCACATAGAAATACTCGCATATCTTAAAATGCTACAAAATGTTCTAAAAGATATAAATTTGGTACTGTATAGGCTTAGGTTAATCTAAGACTACCAGTTACTCCCTGTGTGATCCTGGGTAAGTCATTTTTCTTGTTCTTGTATATGAATCATTGATAGGTTTTATTTAAATACATCACAGGAGTGATGTACTTTAAATGAAATAAATATTTTGTATGATCACTGGAGTTCAGTACAAGTTAATTTTTCCTTTCATGTTCTGCCTTCCACACCTCCTCATCCCCATCCCCATCCCCAAGTTGTGTTAAGCCACAAAGAGAATGAGATGAATAAATCGAATATTATTGAAAAGTGCATTAATAATATGTGTATACTTGCAATTACAATTGAGCTGTTCATTAACCTGAGCTGAGCCAGTTAATTTCCTACTCTAAAGCAATTAATTTCATTCTTGAAAGTACTTGCTCCAAACCTTTCTTGCTTTCCTGAAAGACAAAATGTCACCTCTTCCTGACTTCGGGCATCTGCTAGGCCAACTCAGTGATCTACAGGAGAGGGGAGGCAGAGAGACATCGAGAGCTGAAAGTGTAATTACCTACATGGGCAGGAAAACATGAAAGAGCAGCCCCAAACACATGTGTACACCATTCCTTCAGGCTCAGGCAGATAACCAGGGTGACGAGTAGGGCTGGAGACAGAGGAAGATTCTAGCACAGAGTGAAGAACTGGGAATCCATGACCGTACCACAGAGCATGGCCCATGTCTCTTTGTTTCATTGATAGATACTCAATGCCTGGAATTAATATGTGCTCAATAGATACTTTTTGATGCGTGAATCGAGGTGAAGCTGAAGAGCAAATCAGCTGACTTGAATAGCAGGAAGTAAGGGAGGTTTATTCTTGGATAATAAGACCTCAGGAGATGGAGGAGGCAGTGGAAAAATGAGATAGTCCCTAGAGCTGAGAAGGGTGCAAGGTTCCAGGCAAAACCCAAAGATGAAAGTAGAAAAGATGGAATCCCTGGTTTCCGGCTCAGGAATGACAAAGAAACGAGTTATCACAATCTGGCTTTGCCTCAGTACAAGATCCATGGCAAAAACCATTTGGATGCTTTAAAGGGGACCAGGAGGCTAGAGGAAAGACATCTAGACTAAAAGGAAATTCCTAGGTGTTTTACATGGTATCTGGGATTTAATTTAGTTAGGTGTGGTAAGACAGGCAGACACAAAAGTGATTGTCATGAAGGAAGAAGTCAATCATACTCAGTTCCTTAGAGGCATGAAGTCATGGCATCCACACAGGCCCACATGAGAAGCACCAAGGCCAAATGGATGGGAAGAAGAAAGAACTAGGAGCTAAAGTCTTTGTTGCAGTTTACAGCAGGAAGTAGAAAAAGTTCTGCATTGTT